CTTGCATCTTTTGTCCACCTTTTCAGAATGTGCTTCTCAGGTATTCTTCACACCCCTTGCATTTGGTCCTTTCAACGTTGAGCCTGCTCTTGTCATACCTGATCCCAAAACTGATTTCCCATGAATACGGGTTGTAGTAGTCATATGCCTCTCCCAGCGTATCGAAGCTGCTCCCAACCTCAGGCACTATGACGGTTTCAGTCTTTTTCTCTGCATATTCCTTGATTGTCTTCTCCAACGTGCACACTGTACCAACACAGGGGGGTTGCTCTGTAGGTGCCTGCCAACACGAAACCTGCTCGTTAGATATGCAATTCATTACATTTAGCAAAGGCATTGCACAGGATGACATGTTCCGTTAGTGTCTACACATTTTTCAGACTTTTTATATGCTAAGCAGCAATCGTTGCGAACATAGTTACAAATTTTGAATGCAAAATCACCTCTTTGTCCATGCTGGTGCCTGAGGGTCGTCCCTGCCTGTTGACTGCCCCAAATCTGCTGCCGACAAGTGCCAATACGTCCTGCCCTACCGCGCCAATACTGGACTCGATCGCTGTGTCGAGCAGATTCGGGAGCAGCTGGGCCAGCGACATGGTTTTGCTGCCCCCAACCGTCGGTGGCGTGCTCTCTCTGCCCCCAACGCTGGAGCGAAATAGAAAATGAGTCCGTGTAAGAGAAAGAGAGAAACCATGATCAGGGTAGCTCGCGTGTAGAAACCTTATCAAAAAGGACAAATTCACGTGCAAATAATCTTATACTTTCTGTGTAAAGGGTGCCTTTTTGTTATGCAACCCCATCTAGAATATAAAAGGCCACCAGTTTGCAAATCAAACGCGTGTGCAGCACAAAATGCAACACATAAAAAACATGGCAGTTTATGCAACCCCTAGTTGCTTATATGCCGCCTACCCCACTGGATAACAACAGATAGAACCCTCTTGTCATCTCCCCCCTTATCGTGCCGCCATTAAGAAAACATCCTCTTTTACTGCGTAATTCATATCTACGGTTGTTTTTTGCCCCTGAAAATTGCACACTAGTGCCTGCTTGTAGATTCCCTCTATTTTTCTGCCTGAATAGAAAGCCTCCTCTATTGCATAAAAACATATGCTGAAAATAGCCACCCAATATGAAACACAGATTGTTACACTATTGCCTGCTGAACATATATTACCTACTAAACACAGCTTCCAATACAAATATTGCCTACTGGAAAAACATATATTGCCTACTGAAGCAACAGATGCTGAACATATAACTACCAACATGAATGCAGATTATTACAGTGTTGCTTGCTCGGACACATATATTACCTGCCCCCTACCCCTAATTATGTTGCCTACTGAAGAAAAATAGATGCTGAGAATAGCTATTTGAGCAGAGATATTACAGTATTGCCCACTGAAAAAAAATGTTGCCTACTGAAGAAAACAGTTGCTGATAAATAGCTAGATGAACACGAATGTTACAGCATTGCCTACTGAAGCAGCACAGATGCCGAAATTATATCCAGTATTTTTGCCTACTTATCATTCTTTGTGTTGCCTACAAAATAAACTAATCTAATTTTGTTGTCTACTCCCTGAACATCTGGGATTTTATTTTCTAAAAGCTGATGCAAACATACATGCACATTTGCTTGACTGTTCCGTTCGTGAAGTGAAACACTAGCCCGCTTCCCCTTGACTATGATGCATCTCTGAAACCCATCGCAAAGGAGAGTTGGATTTGTCATGGCTGCTACTCCCTCCGTTCCAAAATAGGTGACTCAACTTTATACTAACTTTAGTATAAAGTTGAGTCATCTATTTCAGAACGGAGGGAGTAGTAGCTAGCCCTCCGTCGTGTTGTCCCCACCAAAAAACTCGTGAAACAAATGTGCGTCTGGATAGCAAAATTTTGGTGCGCGAGGCAGTTGTGCCTCTCTCTGTTTTGCATGACCAGCTCGTGATTTTACATCACCCGATTTGCTTCAGTTTTCCTGATCCACATCCACCTCATCCCCCCTTCGTCGCCGTTAGAGATGATGAAATTATGGAGGCCGAGGCGCCGGGACTTACCTCTGGTCGTAGATGTAGCAGAGAACCTCGCCGCCGCGCGCAACCAACGGCTCACGCGCAAGTCGTTCTTCCCCGGTCGACTTGCTGGTGTCCGCCTCCTCCCGATGCAGTTCTCTCTTCACCGGTCCGCGTCGCAGCCATTCGTCGTCGTCGCCGGGCCCCGGCGACGCTCCCGCCGAATCACTAAGGATTTCTCTCCGTGCCGCCGTGCGGAGAGAGAATTGAGAGGGGAACGGCGAGGACAGTAGATGGGACAGAACCAAGACAGAACCCACCGTCGCCTATCCCACCTAGTCGGGTTTAGCTCCCCATACGAGTCTCGATCTCATGATGCCGCCCAGCATAGGTTTATCCATTTGACGACGGCGTTTCCCCACAACGTGTCGGTACATGTATGCCGCATCGTTCTGTCCCCACGGCACAGGATGCCAACCGTGCTAACGCCACCACACGGCTCCGTCGCCCTGCGTAGTATTTTATTATGTATACGTTTTCGTATGCCGTCTGTATTTCAAGCACCAATAAATGTTGTCAACACATGCAAGCCGACCATTGGTCCATAAAACGGGAGCGCGCGAGCCCGTGTGTACTATCGCTGACTATGCATGGAACTTGCAAGCTACATTCCTTGGCGCCCACAATGCACACAAGTAGTACAATATGCATCAGATGCTTCTGTGCTGTCTTCCCAGGCAAGTCGCTCCTTAGCACAACACGTTCCTAGCATCAGATGAGTCAAGAACACTCAAAAAAGCTCTACATTAGAACCCAATACATGTTAAATAATATTTGTATAATTAGAACTGGGCCATAATGATAAATTTACCTTTAATCACCGTGATACCAATAGCTAGCTGCTCGTTTTGGTGACCGCAATGGAGAAAAATATATTTATACCAAGTAAAAGAGCAACATCAGATGGCTTTGGTTGACTGTTGTGAAATGAAAACATGATGATGCAGTTTACCGGTGAATACACTTCTCACTTTTCTCAGGCTGTATGTGTGGACGTCGGAGCTTCACTTACTATAAATACATAAATCCCCGGATGGATAACATCAACAATCAATAATTGAAACAATGGAAGAATGAATCCACAAATTGTAGATGCATCCACCAGCTAAATCCACAAACAGGAGGCAAGAGGAAGAAAAAGAGAGTTGTGGATCCAGAAATAAGAGAAGGATGGATCACAGAGCCTCCTCAGAGCTCAGTGACTTTCAGCCGTTGGATGCGTTCTCGTCCGTTGGATCGAGAGGTGGGAGGATCTGGGCCGTTGGATCTGGAAGAAACACTGCTGGAATGAATAGTAATGGCAACATAATGTAAATACCATGCCCCCACCAGGGTATTTTGGTAATTTCGCGTGGTGGGGGTATAAAAGGGGGGCGCTTAGACCTAGCCGCCTCCTCCTTCCACCCCTCCGGCCGGCTCCTCTCCCGCTTGCGCCTCCTCCTCCCCCCACTAGCGCCTCCCTCTCCTCCTTCCCCGCCTTCGCCCGGCCTCCTCCTTCCGCCCCACCGATCTGGCGCCGCCCCGCCTCACCGTCCTCCGCCGCCCGCCTCCTGCCTTGCCTCGCCTCGCTCCGCCGGCGGCCTCCTGCGCCACCCTGCCTCGCCATGCTCCGCCGGCCGCCTCCTGCGCCGCCCCATCTCACCGTGCTCCGCCGGCCGCCTCCTGCCTCCCACCGTGGAGAACGGCGACAGGCGGCTGCCAACGGACGGATACAGGCAGAGGAGGGTCAGAGAGGCGCGCGGAAGGCCGACGAGGTTGGGCAGCGCCGGATCCAGAGTTCGGGGTGGTGCCATGGTTGCTCGGTGAGCTCCTGCAGGGGAAGATGGCGGGGCGAGATTTAAAGGGAGATGGCAGAGAGAAGCGAAAGGGAGTGGCGGCGGGGATTCTGTTGCTCACCGCGAATATCGAGCGCTTGGGCACCATGCGAGGCTGCGGCTGCGGGCGGTTGGAGACGCAGCCTTAGGCAAGTTGCTGCTGCTTTCGAGTGCTGAGTGTCGCTCCGTCGAGTCCGGCGGACGAAGGATTAGGAGAGGGGCGGGCTGTGGAGACTTCGAGGCGGCTGGTGGAGGCGTTGGCCTTGTCGGAAGGCCGGAGGAGGCGACCGGTGGTGGCTCGCCATGGCTGCACTTCACGGGAGCGGAGGTAGGCATTCGATGGCCAGTCCGTGTGGATGCAGATGAGACCCAGCCGTGATGAACAAATAGTAATAGACTGTGCTGGTCTTTTCCTCCTATCTGAATTTTCTGCAGATGAGATCCAGCCGTGATAAACAAACAGCAGTAGGCCGTGCTGCTCTTTTATCTATTCTGAATTTTGTGCAACTCAGATCCACCAAGGAAGAGATGGATGAGGCCGTGCTGCTCCTCTCATCTATCTCAATTGCTATATGAAAAGCTCTAAATTTCCAATCAGGTAAATATCACCACTAACTCTCATTTTCAAGCATAGTACTCCTTCTGCATATAAAGAATAGGCGTGCTTCTTTCATTTTCTCTGTTCATACTTATACTGCAGCAGATAGATACATTTGTATACGGCACTACCATTTGTGTCATGTCTGATATAGTTCTTTTTTTAGGGATTGAACAACATCAATTATTTTTTTAGGATTAAACAACATCAGTTAGTTGTACTTGCTTGAAGTCTTGACCCTGAGCATAACCTGATATCAACAAGCAAAAACATTTGTTTTAATGTATGCAAATAGTCACATTGTCTGTTTGGTTGAGGGTCATTTTTCAGTACATGAATTTGTTGCACTGTCGTGTAAAAGAATTTGCACCGATGCTAATCATAGTTCTATGGAACTGAATCAACATGGTATGTAATCCTTCTCGACATGAGTTACAAGTTCTTTATTTATTATCCTGTCAATTTAGTACTAAGTAATTTTGACGTGAAGCTCTGCCTTTGTAAGCAGCCATGAAGGACCGATCAGAAGCGAGGCCCTTGCTGCTCGTGTCTCCTTGCTGGTGGCAACCCGACCTTCAGCTTGCCAGCGACAGGCAGGAATCCGGTCAGTGGCCGCCAAATAAGTACAGATTACGGAAGAGACCTAAGTCCGACCACCGCCCAACTCCCAGCTACTCGCTGCAATTCCCACATCCACCTCAAATGGGATAAGCGCTCCAGGTGAGGCGTCCCCGGCTAGGAGCAGATCTGGATCCCATGGGTCCACCTCTCCCCGTTCGTTGGATCTTTGCCCCCCAGCCGTGGCCACTCCTCAGGTTTGCTGGCTGATGTCACGCCCGTTCCAAGGCAGGTTTTTCCCAGGGGAACCTCCTGGGGTGTGTCCTATGAGGTATATATATGCTTTCATGCCCTCTTTGTGCTCGACCTTTGTGTGCTCGTTCATGCAATCTTAGTTGACTCACGCGATAGATCATTTATGTTGTGTGTTTAGGTAGAAGATTCTTGCTCGGTTCCTTGTGTTTGGGATGATCCAGATGAGATAGTGCATCAGTTGCTCACAGGAAGAAACCACCACAATGAGAATCCTCTTCTAATCTGGCAAGTACTGTTCCTACTTGACTGACGAACATCGTATCTGTAGTATCTCTCATTGTGCACTGTTGGTTATGTTGTATTACTTCTGCGGCTTTTTTTCATATTTTAACAATGGATTTTTGTGTTAGGAACTGAGATTCACTAGCTTTCATATTCTGCTTTAGTTTTTGAATACTGAAAGTGCATACCCAATCTTAATAAAGACTGGAATCGAATTGTCTCATGGATGACTGATGTTGATTTTTTTAACACAACATTTTCTTGTGATGAGACAACTTTAGTTAGTAGGTTTCGCAAAGGTCACCAAGTATCAGTTACCTCTAGCATCTTACTCTAATACCGAGTGGTTAACCTACTTCCTTTCTCCAAATCTACGATTGCACTATCAGAGGTAGCACTGGCTGATATATGTCATTTTTTGTATAACCCCAAAAGACTGAATCGGTGCATACAAATCTTGCTTTGAGCAATAGAAAATCATGATTATGGTCTGTTCTGCATATGTATATAGAGCATGCTACTCATATTTATCACAATAGTTGTACCTATTTCTTTCACTTAATTTTCTTGCCTTGCTAAATTTATGAATTCTGACAAAACTCTCATTGAATGAAAGCTCTTTTCGAATGTTCTGTTGTTATTTTCATGATCCAGCAACATCTTGTTATGTTATGCATATAAACTACATGGTTTCTACAGAAATGCCAAGAAAGAATTTGACAGGAATTCTGATTTTAAAGGCAGGGCTCAGCAAGCAGTAGTTCAACTACAGTTGTTTTTTCAATCCTTGTTGTTTGCTCAATTTATGACTTATGACATGACTTGTCCTGACTACCAAACAATAACTGAATTGTAGAGAGGGGAAGATAGATACCTGGCTGCCTGGAAAAGTATTTTTCAAATTAACCAGAATGAGTTTGACTTGGTGTACAAATGCCTTAATGTGGAACTTCAAGAAAAGGTATTACTATTGTTCCCTGTTTGCCTACCAACAAATATTTGGGGAGACTCCTGAATTTTTCACATACCACTGGAAGCTAAATTATTCTGGTGGTATGAACTAAGCTGTGGTTTCCCTAGAAAAATAAGCATTTTGTTTTTGTTGCAGTGTGCATTGTGTTTACTTGTGCTGGAACGTTATGTTCAATTACTACTGATAAATATACTGTTAGAACATGTTTTGAAGTGGAATTTCAAAATTTGGCAGTAATGCAATGGGGGTCTGGCTGTGTTTTTCGAAAGTGTTGTCGATAACGAGAGGCTTTTACGACAATGGTGGCAGCGACAAGCACTGATAGATATACTGTTAGAACAAGATATATGATTTTGAGTGGCTAATTTGGCAGTAATGCAATGGGGGTCTGGCTGTGTCTTTCAAGTGCGGTGTCGGTAATGAGAGGCTTCAATGACAACGGAGGCAGTGACAAGCACATATATGCTCTAGCTTTGAGGCACTGAATTGTGTATATTCTGAACCTGCATTAGAGCTTCACATGTGTATGTTTTGAACCTACATTAGAGCTTCACATATCATTATATCGTGAGTCACCAAAAAAATTGCATTGCAAACTTTACGCTTTTCTTTTGACCATATGACATCTTAATCCTTTTAGGTTGGCATCAAACTTTATGAGTGCTTTTTGTTATTATGTTGAGCCATGCTTTAATTTATATTAATTGGCCAATTTTTGATGTCATATTTTCTTTAGATGCATCACTTGCAGTCATCCTTTGATTTCTATTAATTGATCAATATTTATTCTGGAGTCTACCATGGATTTACATGCAACTCAGAGATTTAAAGATGTCTTCTTTGGCTGGCATGATTGTTTACCTTTTCCTCACTAGAAGCAATTAACCTACATGATCTGTGCAGAATATGTCTCACCACTTTAGTAGGCAGGTTTAACAGGAAATAATAGTAGCACTATTTCAACAAGTGGTTCCTTTGTATGATGCGGGGCGAGGGCGATGAGGGCAGTGCCGGGTTTGACGCCGGACGGGGCGGCGGGGGATGAGGGTGGCACTGTGTTTGACGCCGGGCTTAAGTACCTCGAGGCCGTCAATGGCAATGTGCTTGTGTATCCCAGGTTCATCACCGATCCTTTCACGGTTAGTGCCTCCCTCTATTTTCACCCGATTTGAGACTTCTTTTGCTTGGCTTTTGCAACGGTTGTTTGTACTGACAAAAGAATCACATGACGGGCAGATTTCGCTAGACACGTTCTCTGGCGGGTAACTGCACACAACCACAGGAGGAGGTGGTGTTGTGGAAGAATACGGCCTGGGCAAAGCCATACTCTTGCATCTCTTTCAACTGGTAAGATGCTCCCTTATCTCTCAATCCTTTTGTCGATTATTAATCTCAAATTTCCATTGTTGTAATTGAAAAGCCTTTGAATCTGATGAGCAATGCTAGGAAAGTGATTTAACTTTGCGCCATGGTTAGGTTGTCCATTAGAAATTTTTGCAGCAGTATGATTTTTTTAAAGAAAATACAAGTTGTATTTGTCATACATAATTAAAGCACTGAAGATACCCCTTTGCAAATACAGTAATTTCTGAATATTACCATTTTTTTCTCTTATGGTGGCATATAATTGTTTCAGGACAAACATGGTGGATATGGTGGTGGACCTGGGCAGTTTTGCTCTAACCTCAAACTCTTCTTAATTCCCCACATTTAGCTTCGGTAATACTAGCTTTAGGTTGGTTAATCTTTTTGCATTAGTTCTTGAAATGGAATATTAGGCAACCATGGAATTTGGAATAGGCCATGTGAATGCTGGGCTGTAGAGATATTGGATTTGACATTGCTTTCAAATGTTTGCTTCACAATGAGTGCTCTTAGACCGTTCTAGGCTACTTGACATGTTCACACGAATATACAAAATAACTTCGACCAACCAATTTAGCATTATAAGAACTTCAGAGATGTGTTTGGTATTTGATTACCTAATGTGTTCGTATAACTCAAGAAGCCTGATGTGGTTGGCAAAGCTAGCTTTTGTAATGGTTTTGTTTGCCCATCTTTTGGAAGGTCAGAGATAGCTTTTTTTTGTTAATTGATTTACTGATTCGGTTTCATGTTCGGTGAGTGGGGTGGTCGATCCGCTACTGATCTCGACGTGCACAACCAGTCACCTGTTTATCTCTGGCCCCTGCAGAGAACGGCGTCGCTGGGGAGGACGGGAGCGGCTCGACCAATGGCCACCGCAATGCTCTTCTGCCCGCTGCTTGCCTCGCCACCTGGGCGCAAAATAGAGCTGACAAGACGTCTGTATGTATTGCAGTTCAATGAGGAAGCGCGTCACTTTTTGTAAAGAAATACAAGACTATCTTTCACCCAGGAGAGGTAATAATTTGTCATCTAAACTTCCTAAGTTGCAACTGTAGACTCCCTCCGTTCGAAAATAAGTGACGCTGCTTTAGTTCATTGCTTATTTCCAAATGGAGGTAATAGTATCAAAGTTATCTTCTTTACATGTTCCTTACTCTGTTTTCTTTTTAATTTTCCGTATCTTGATTATTCTCTTTCTCTTAATTTACATTGGGTACTTCATTTTTTAAACTTATTGTTATCTGATCTGTGTCTTTCTATTCTCTTAGATGGTCTTTGCGTTCTTGTGTTTTAGCTTGCATGCCTAGCAGTTTACTTTTCACGCCGCTTTGATTTATGAGTTGAAGTCAGTAGTTGATGCATTCTGACTTCTTTGATTGTTTATTGTGTATCTAGGTTAACTGAATTAGGGAGAGATGGCACTGTGCCCATGGACAAAGTCAGTTGCTCCGATATGGATGAGCAGCAGGTGCTGCTACCGCTGCAGGTGAACAAGGCACGAGGTCTCATGGCTCCTCCCACTCTTCCCAACAACACTGTTGTGATGTACTGAAGCCTCCCGTTCCACATGTTCAGTACTTGCACCTCAACGTCACTTCTGTGAGTGGTGGCCTAGGTTAGGTCGATCCCTAATCTCTGTTCCAATTTATTCCGGTGTCATTATTCTCAGCATCCTTTAATTTGCGATTTATGCTGCCTTTGTATTTTTTGGGGCTAGAGATTGTAGGTTGATTTAGATTGCTAACTCGATTCAGACTGCCAATACTACTGTAGATATCGATGTTTCCAGAGCATCATTATCAATTGGCTGTTATCTCATTGTGTTTATGAGCAGATACAACATCTCTTGTGAGACTTAGTCTTACACTTGCTGATATAAACTACTTAGCAATATTTATAGAATGTATGTCTTTCTGTTTGTACTACTTGATACAAATCAGTTGTCCTAGGCAAACATTGTGGCTTGCTTTTGGTACAGATTTTGTCTCTGTGATCTTTAGTTTTATGGTTATCCTGGGCAACAACTACACTTTGCTTGTGGTATATATTTAATCTATATGCCCTATATTTAGTTATCCTGGGCAACAGCTATACCTTGCTCTTGATGTATCTTTGTAGTGTTTGTGATATATACCAAACACATTATTCCGGGCGGTTATTTTAATTTCTTTTGGATGTTCTAAACGCTTTGTGATATTAAATTTTTAGTCGCTGTGAGGCAACACCTGCAAGGCGCGCTTCCGATCTTAGCATTAGACCAAAACGTTTGGACCGGTACCCTTAAGCCTGCTTCCGATCTTCGCATTAACTACTTTGACAAAAACGTTGGGACAGGCACCTTTGCGCCAAGGCGCGATCCCGATCTAGTATGGCATGTCATGACAATCGTGTGTGTGGAGCAGATCGGCCTTGGCGTGGGATTCCCGACGGCAGGCGGAGCAGATCAGTCGTGGTGCATATGAGGCGACGACGAGCAGCCCGTCGTCCTTGTCGTCAGCCTGCAGAGCTGACCGCGCGGGGTTCACCGACGGCGTGCGGGAGCATATCAGCCTCCTTGGTGGAGATGAGGTGACAATGAGCAGTCCCGGATCCTTGTCGTCTTCCTATTAATCGGGAAAGGAGGCCTCACCATGGTGGGTGTAGGAGGGGGCAGAGTTCTCCACCTCGTGCAATTCTCCTCCTCCTCG